GTCCTGCTTATATCTTATATCACTAAAACACTTGTTCAGTATCCAAAATAATACCTGCACTGTGTAGAAACAATTCCCAGGAGGAACCAGACCAAGTGCCAGTCTGCAGCCCAACTCCTGCAGCTCTACACCAAACTGCAGCAGCGCCCAATGCTACCGTTGTGGGCTGGCAGCCATCTCATCTCAGCTGCACAAGCAGAAACCACGCTCCAAAAACCCCTAACGCAGGGAGCGAGGGATGGAGAGAGCAAGGGATGGAGAGAGATGTGGGATGCCCAGCACTTCTCATGCTACTCATGAAGCATAAAAGTCACCAAGTCCTGATCTGCAGGACCTAGTGGCATCTTCCAAGGAACCAGATCTGCAGTTCTATGAACAGCAGCTGGCCCTGAGTCCATTCCCCAACTCCCATCTGAGAGGACTCCAATGCATCCCCTCACTTGGAAGGCCCGCTGGTATCAGTCACCTCACCAGGGGCACTGTGGAAATGAAGGACCTGCATTTTGGGCAGGCAGTCCAACGCATCTAAGCAATTGCGTCATGGTTGTTCTGGACAAACCTCTTTATCGGGAAACCAGGCAGAACAACACAAACCATGTGGTGCAGATACAGCTATATTTTTTGTACCATCCCAACAAGCAAACAAGCAAGTCTCCACTTCTCCACCCTGCCCACTTCCCCAAATTTCCGCAGGAAGCTTGCCTTCTGGACCTGTGAGAACATGGAAGCAGAGCCAATGCAAGTTCTTTAATAAGTCCTCAAAAAATGCTTAGAAAGAAAAGGCAATAGAAGTAAGTAATCTTCAAAGGAAAGTCTTAGCAATCTGCATCTCAGTTCAGACTTCTAGACCTGTGAGAACATGGAAGCAGAGCCAATGCAAGTTCTTTAAGTCCTCAAAAAATGCTTAGAATGAAAAGGAAATAGAAGCAAGTAATCTTCAAAGGAAAGTCTTCGCAATCTACATCTCAGTTCAGACTCTGCTATCTGCAGAGCATCTTGAAGACTGCTCAGAAAAATAACTAGAGGAACTTGCAAGTCTATTTTGGGAGAAGGCAGCATGAGGGCCAATAATTTCAGCAGAATTTAGAGCAATTCCTGTATTTGAATCTCTGAATCTTTTAAATCCTGAGTCAGGGGAAATCTGGGCCTCTTCAAAGCATGCAGAAAGGGTGGTGAGTCCCGTACACGCGTGTTTGGGGCTCAACTGCAGCAGGGGCTCAATCAGCAGCATGGACCGCTAGAGAATACTGAATGTTACCTTACAGACAAGGCCAGGCCACCACTGCCCCTCACGAAGGTGGTGGAGGTGACACGCTGCAGTCAATAAGCTGGCCAGCAGGTAGATCCCTCATTTTACAGGAATCCCGCACACTGTTGGAGCGGGAAGGGTGGCAAACAGCCACGACAGCCGCAGTTGCTGGGCTCTGCCGACCACACAGCACTGAGTGCCACAAAGGGCTGACTGCCCGAACGAGGAGGAAAACTAGTTGTCCATTATCGAGTGGAAGACAAAAGGGGATCGAGTCTCTGACGAGCAGGGAAGACTTCTGCTTCCTCAGGCAAGGAGACCTGGCATATGTGAAAATGGCTGCAGACAACAAAGGGCCAGTTTCTTAATAGCAAGTATACAAAACCCAAACACATCTGTATGGACAAAGCTATTCCATAAAAGAGTCAAACACTCCATAAACCAAGACATTTTTAAGAAGCTGTTTTTCCTCCCCCTCCCCCCCTTTTTTTAATACAAAGTAGTTAATTCTTTGTACCTTAAAAATGTTTTCCAATCCAACATTAAACAAGGCTTGGATCTACTCCAATCACCAATACATTTCACATTACACTCTGCTATTTACAAGGCACAGCAAGAAACTGGACTGGAGCAGAAGCAAAGAAATTCCGACATTTCAGCAGGTTTAGTCTCCAGATGCCAGGAGGACAAGAAGATGCCCACAGCTAAACCATCATCAGTTTTGCAGAAGCGTTCTGTGAAACCCTTAACATATCCTCCTTTTGCTATTAGGCCCCAGGAGTTGCTGCTTCCAATGCTTTAGACCTGGTCCTAGTACACTACTTAATTACGCTTCACAAAGATACACAAAATGCAAATTCCAACAGGTCATTTCCTACCATGCCAAGCTACATTACTAGACAGAGTAATGATGCAATTAAAGTTGTTACTCAAGTAGATGAAATCCTATTTATTCATATGGCCATAAACATACCACATTATGTAATTCTGAGATTCCAATGCAATGTGACATAGATTTGTATTACTCTTTCTTTCAGTATTGTTTTTAAAGGGACATCTTAGACATCTTAAAAACAAACAGAAACTGCAAACTCGTTAACATTTGTCTCCTTTGCAAGCCAGCCATTCCTAACTACCCTCCTCAGACACCCAAGTATTATTCTCACACTGCGATATAAGGGAGAAAAGGCAAGCTGCACAGGGCACTTACTAACAAAATATTATATTAAAAAAGAAAAATATTATATAAAAAAGAAAAGAATGTGCCCACTTTGAGTATTTGGGGGGCTTAATGTTTATGTAAAAAAAAAAAAAAAGACCAATTACTAATGTAGTTCCCTATTCTCATGTATAGAAAAATCTATCCACAACTGAAAATAACCCAAATAATTGATGTACAAAAAGCAGTTCCAGGGAAACAGAGTTACTTGAGGCATAGCTGCCTGTCATTTCATCTTCACTAGGAAGATCTTGTGATTTAGTGCAAATATTATCTTTCCTTTGTCTCACAGAAGCACAATATGATCAAGATGTAAACCCTGAAATTTAACTCTATTTTGTGGGGTTTTTTGATTGTTTCTTTTTTATTTCTTAAGATTTTTTGATTGTTTTTGTACAGAACTAATTAAAGTCTTTCTGTGAATTTGGTTTGAAGTATTGTTTTGCTTTTTGCTGACCCCCTCTTTCTGCCTTTTCTTTACGGGTAAGAATAAAAGAAGTAATCTCTAGCAGTTTCCATCCATCAAGTACACAAGCAGAAAAACTACCTGTGCCAAAGTCTCTTCTCTCATTTTCAAGTCAGAGAGTAAAAGGACTTTTTGGTTGATTTATACTGCAAAGAAGGATTAGGGAGGTTGTTTTTTTTTGTTTTCCTTTTTTTGCTAATTTTATCAATATTTACATAAACACAGATGATAGGCATAAAGATGTCATTTGCTTCAACTCAACCTTTAAAGTAGCTCCTCCACTCCAAAAAAGCACTCAGTGCCAAGTAGTACGAGCCAGCCAAGCACTTAGTGCTTTGCTGTCGTGGTTAAGCAGACTGGCACTTGGGCCAGGGAGAGCACAGAAGTTCTCTTTTCAGGAGTTTTTCTGCTCTCAGCAAAAGCTGGGGATGCTTCTTGTGTGATTCTGAACGAACAGGATCGAGATTCATGTCTTCTGCAGGAGGTTCCTCAGCGATGCTCCAATAGGCCACAGGTCCACTTAAAAAACCTTATGAAAAGCCAGTTCCTTGTCACTGAGTGTGCAGTAACTGAGCATCACCTTTAAACTGCAGCTTCTTTAGCAATTTATACCTCAGAAATACAGGACTGCCTCCCTTCCTCTCCCTCACATATAAAGAGGGTTATGAAAAAGTCAATGCAGAGATCATCACTAATGATTCCTCAGGACTGCAAGTTTTCCATAGTCATAAAAAAAATCCTAAAGTAAAATATTTTACAGCAAATTTTCTGAGAATAAAACAAACAAAAAAAGCCAACAAAACCCACATACAACTCATGGCGTAACGGATTAGAGCAAAAGTGTATTTGGTCTTTAACTAAAATACAGCAATTGCTTATTTAACCAAGGTCATTACAAACCAGACTATTTCATATCACCTCTGCAATTTGCTAAATCTGAATTATAATACTTATAATTAGTAAAAACCTTGAACAAATTCGAGACACGCAAATGTTTAACAAAGAACAGTTTGTTTCACAGGCACTTGCAAAAGTATTTCTTATTATAGGCACGCACACTCAAAATATTTTATATGTGCATTTCCATTCAATATTAAATAAGAAATTCAAAGTTCATCTGCCTACTTTTTGCTCCTAAATCAATCTAACATTTCACTTATGCTTTTGGTATTCCCACTTTTGCATTAATTTGTCACGGTCAACACAATACCATAATGCATAAAGCAGTCACACACAGATTTGCCTTGAAATATTGAGCCTGCAAATCTGTCTCAAGACTAACCCCCTGAATGCATACCATTGATATACAGCAGCACAAACAAAATATACCAGGCTACTAAAAAACAAGTTCAAATAACTTATTTGGTAAGAGCACGCCTACCAACAGAATGCAGTTACTAAACATCATAATGTAATAAAAATATTTATCAATAATGTAGAATAGATAACTTTTCAAAACTTTGATGAAATATTTATTCTTATTTTTTCAGACACATTTTATATCTTTTGCTAGCACCTTTACCATTGCTTTCCTCTATTCAGACTTACCCTCTGTATGATATTATCTCTTTTCTTACAGTTGTTCAAGTTTTTCCCAGTAATTAGCAAGCTACTTCTCCTTTGACAGAGAGATACTAACAAGCTCCTGCAGCTTCCAGTAGGGCAAGGAATCCAAAGCTACTAATAGCAAACAAGTCATTTAAGCAAAAAGGATTACAAAGGCTAGTTGCAAGAGGCTCGAAACTCACCCGTTTTTCAGATTAAGGCTTTCTGAGGAGGTCTTTTGTAATGAGTTTTGACTCCATTTTAAGAGACTGTTTCATTATTTACTTTAAAAATGGAATATTGATTTGAATACTTAGTTTTGTTTCTTTTTGAAATTAAAAGTGCCAGAAACACTCTGAAGAGTTTTCCAAAGGGAATACAGGAGAGACACCCGTTTCATAACAAAACCTCCCTCCTAAGATCAAGAGAGAAGGGAGGGAAAAGGAGAAAAAAAAAAAAAAAAAAAAAAAAAAGAAAAATCGCTGTGACACAAAGCGCGTGCGACGAGGACCCCAACGTACCTTGAGGACTTCCATGGGCACCTGGGTGGCAGGGGGCAGGCTGGGGGGGACGCTGACGTTGATGGCGGGCGTCTGGCTGACGGGCACGCGCTGCTGCATGAACTGGGCGGCTTGCTGCTTCTGCTGCTGCTCCCGCCGCTCCTGCTCCTGCATCTGCTCACGCATGAGCTGCTGCCGGAGCAGGATCCGTGAGGTCATGCTGGAGGAGCTTAAGGGAGGCTTGGAAGCGCCAGGATGCTCGGATCTGCTGCGGGAAGAGCAGAGACACAGGGCTTAGGGGCCGCCATCAGGTTGAGCACCCGTGCGTTTGAGACCCGACGCGTCGCAGGACCGAGCCAGCACAGACGCAACGCACGGCAAGGCAGGATTTGGAGGCACATTAGGCTGCCTTAACTTGATCTAAGCATTTTCGAGAACCATAAACTCTTGGAAGCGAGGTGCTGCTTTCAAGTTTTACTGCAACCATCCACGAGAAAAATAAATAATTCCCATATTCCCATTTACGGACCACTTCTGGTTGTTTCTGACTTCGAAGAGCTTCTAGATAAAAGGCTGCATTAAGTCTTATGATAGGCACAGCTAACGCTCCAGGCCAATGAGCCCACTCAAGGGAATTTTACTACCTCTTCTAAGAAAGCACATATAACAAATATTCTGTTATTTTCTCCAGAAAAGAAACTGCGAGCAAATCTCACCATGGGTTAGATCATTCACAGCTAGAAACCAGATCCAAAATGGTGACTCTTTGGCACTTCAGACCAGTAAGAGCAATGGGAGATCATCACCAGCAGGATAAACAACATGGGCTGTGTATAAATTATATTGAGCTGGCCAGAATATAACACACAGCACTTACTAACCATGCAAGAGCCACGTTTCACTTGATGGCACATGTGGAAGACGTGGCAGAAAACACCAAGTTGGCTATGAACTCCAGGGACATCTTCTGCAACCAACACTGGGCCCTCAAGAGCATGAGCCAATTTCTAAGACATTTTTATTGTGTCATTAAGACAGAACAATTAAGCTACTTAAATAACGAGCCACACGCTCACCAGGGGAAGTAAGGACTTAGGTTGGACGCTGGTTGGAACATACAACTCCCTATGTCCACATGGGAAAGCTACAGCACATCTGGTTCAAAAATACTTGGTTTCTCATCCTGAACAGCTTCATTTGATTGGGTGGGAAACATATGAGAACATCAGCATTCCTACAGGAGGAAAGGGTATATTATGCTGTAATGCACAGCTATGTCTGTGAAAGCAAAGAGGAGCCATCGCTGCTACAGGTTCACCAGATTGGTCAAGGATCAAGGTTGGGAGCAATTCATAGTAGAAATTAAAATTAACAAATTAAACATATGTCTATTTGTATAAATAGATATCTAAAGGAGCACACTTTTAGAAGTGACCAAACTCCGCTTTTCCAGAGCATACATGTTGGGGGCAGGGAAGGCAAGGGAGGGAGGAGACAGTCTTGCTATTTAAGACCTGTCAGGTTGAAACATTCACAGAGACACTGATCCTTTTGATAAAACAAGAGAAAACCTTTGTGGTGAAACTAACGCAGCTGTGGAATAATCGCACTAATTAGCTGCTCAAGACAAGTCATTGACTGTGATACTTGCAAAAAAGCACCACACTTGCAATTAACAGCAGCGCATTATCACATCGCAACACAGCGCGCAGAGCTCGGGGAGCTCATCTCACCCCACAGCACATTTCCACGCAGAGCAGGTTACCTATTCCCGGCACTGATTAAGTTACAGATGGGCACAGAAAAGGACCAAAATGCTGCTTTTAAGCGAGCACTGCACACTGTTGGCATCGCAGTAGATGCCTGATGGACCAAGCTGGCAACCAGGCAGTGCCTCCTGCTTGTGATCATTTTGGGCCATTTCTCCTCCTCCCAAGGCCAAGCATGCTGAAGATGATGCCAGAAAGATTCTTCCCCTGTAGGAAAACGTCTAGCCCTTTCATCTGCAGGAATTTGATCCCGGAGCGCATATGAAAGGAAGGTCTGAGCACAGGCACTCGCAGCAGCACGGCTGGGCAGCCAGGCAAGGAAGGTGCCGCAAGCAGGAAACCTTCATTCAATCTCCTGCGTGAGCACTGAGCACACCGCAGTCTTCCTCGTCTGGAGGAGATCAAGACTGTTCTCCTGTACATAATGCCAGGTCACACTACCTAGAAAAGTGAAGAACAATCAGTGCTCCTTTAGCATATTTAATGCTCCTTGCTTGCTTTTCTGAGCTATGTAGAAATCTTAGGACACGCTCACAGCAGGGACACAGAAGCCTTGAATACAGAAGTGCCCCTAGCAACATGCTATCCGCTACCAGGAGAGCTATCTTCATTGAGGCATCCGAGTTCGAACAGCGCTTTTATCTACAAGAAACATGTTCTTGATCTGCTATTCAGTGCCTCCCTGCCTGATTAGATGCTCATTGCACCAGTGCAGCAAATGCAGCTGCACCAGCAAAGAACAGTTCTTGACACTCCCATTTCCTGCTATTTATCACCTGGGAACGGTAATGCCCTTGCAGAGAGCAGGACGTCCCACCACACTGAGCACTAAAGTAGCATTCCTTCCATTCGCTGTAGCTTTCACCAAGAGTGGCACAGATGAAACATGGAAATAGAAAGCTAGTTGAAAACTCCCACAGGTATTTCATCCTCTAAGGTAAAAGCTGCACTGTCCTCCCTCCTAATCTCTGCTCCTCATCCAGCTTCTCCTGTCAACTGCATGGGATTTGCTGCAAAGCTCTCTGAGATCAAACAGGAGACAGATAGGTTTAATCATCACTCAAAACAATCCCTTGTCAGAAACACTGTTTTCCCAGAAGAAAAAAAAAAAAAAAAAAAAGCAACTAAGCTTTAGATGTAAAATATTTTTAATCGAGAGAATATTGAAGATTGTAAAGTCTCCTGGTCTTGCAGCAAGACCCTGAAGTGCTGCTGAGAGGCAGATATCTCATTACTGAGCAAGCATGATCCCAAATCCAGGCACACAGATCCAAAGCTCACATGTAAACTGATTCACCGCGGGATTATGTAAAGTCAGCAACGACACATGCAACAACAGCTTGATACATGATGTGACTTAGATACTTCCTGCAAACACTGTTTATGGATATCATTTAATTGCTATAAATGAAACCAGCTCATCCTTTTAATTAACATATGATTAAACCAGTTATCCATCAGTCTAATAAGCATACTATAACACAGAATAAACGTTATTAGTTATGAATATCATGTGCAGATTCGATTAATCACTAAGTGATAACATTTTATTAAAGAAATTTAAATTACATATTCTCTACACAGATGCGTGGGAAATATTAGTTACTGTACATATAAATTATCATGCAGATGGTTGTTGCATAATAAAAGGCAATTGATTCATAGCAATATCTTGATTTTGCAGCTACCAAATTAGCAAGCCAAACATTTTTTGAGCCTAATCTACCTTTAGAGACACGTAGAGATGCAAACAGCCAGCACCTCGTTTTACAGGCAGGATCTTTATCCAGTCCATACAAAGTCTTGCCTAAAGGAAAGTGAAGTAAAAGCAGAGATTTCACCAGACTAGAAGGGAAAAAGCTCCCCCCTCCATCCCTCTGCCAAAGCTCTGTTATTGTGACGAGATCTACTGCTCTGCTACGGAGCAGAGAAAGGGTCCACCAGAGGAAGGCACAGTCCAGAGGGCAGAAAAGGGCAATAACACCCAAACAGAAGCAAAAGAAAAAATAATTGCAAAAAGGAGCCAGATAATAATAAATAAATAAATAAAATAAGCACATACACAGCCCTTCACCCCTATCTTCAGGGAAAACAATTCGGTGCACAAGAAAACTACTACAGTGTTTTCCCCAGAGCACTTTGTACTTCATTCCTAAAACTTAATCATTGATCGTGGGTTGCGGTGACACTTCCCTCGGCCACCCAGTTGGCTGGCACAGCTTAAACTTTCAATGTAAAAACCTGCTGGCTCCTCTCATGCCCTTTCCTGCCAAGGACAGAGCAGTAAGCCGCCAGAATTACATAAATGGCACGGAGACCTTTATCAACCTCTATTACAAAGTAAATACTTCAGGCTTCTGTATTCAAGGAGGCTTCTGCTTTTGAACGCTATGTGCTGCCTGCTAATTTACCTGCCTTAGCATCAAGCAAACATTTCTCCACTCCCTCCAACTTTTCTTACCCTGACCTACCCCAGCTGGGCTCTCCTCTCCTGCAGCAGGACTGTCCAACCTGGGTAAAAATGCACCCGCAGAACAACTTTTGGTGCAACAGGGATATCTACCTGAATGAACAGACAGCATCTGGTCAGGAGGGAGGGAATAAGAGATGAGCCCTCCAGCAGCCACCATACAAGTCTTAAGTAGATCAAGAGATCGTGTTAACAACCCAGGAGAACAGTTGAATGGGGGGCAGGGAAATAGAAAAACCTCAAACTAAATTTCTTAGCTATGAATTTTCAGCTCAAAACTACCAGGAAGCACTAGGTAGTATATACTTAGAAAAAAATAAAACTCTCTAAAACAGTTATACACCATTTAGTA